GGCTTGATCTCCAGTAGGGGGCGTGCTGGAGGCAGCCGATCCATGATTCTCATCATCAATGTTTCTCTCTTTCTCTCTCTCTCTTTCTCTCCCTCCCTCTTCCTTTCTCTCTGAAATCAATAATGAGTATATATTTTTTGAAGAATTACAAAGTGCACTATTATAAAAATGTCAGTGGTAGACTGATAGTGTGTGTAGTACTTCCGTGTTATCCAACCGCTCTCGGATTTCCTTCTTTCTTTTGTTCGGAGGCAGAATTGGAAGCCATCCGAGCTGCCATAGGATCCGTTCCCGTTATCAGAGTCGTTGGGGGAATGTACCAGAGAGCTTTCCCAAGACTTTGCGAGTCACCACAACGCAATCCCTCCTCCACCAGAGAGGAGCCCCTCTACCCGGAGGCTCGGGAAGGACCAGGGTAATAAAGCACGTTGACGTCAGTAACTCTTCCCCCGAGTCCAGACCCTTGAGGGGAAGGTGATGGGCAGGTAGCCAGACTCCGCAGAGCAAGGACGGGCCAGGTGCAGCAGTCACCAGGGTGGAGGGCCGGCGCCTAGCAACAGGGAAACTGGGAAAACAAGGACCTCGTCCCACGGTGACCTTTCCTCCCCTCACACATCGCTGGCCGTGGGGTTAGACCCCTGACCTTTCACATCGCTGGCCATGGGGTTAGACCCTCCCCTGACCTTTCACATCGCTGGCCATGGGGTTAGACCCGCCTAGCAACAGGGAAAACTGGGAAAACAAGGACCTCGCCCCACGGTGACCTTCCCTCCCCTCGCACATCGCTGGTCATGGGGTTAGACCCTCCCCTGACCTTTGACATCGCTGGCCATGGGGTTAGACCCTCATGTGACCTATCACATCGCTGGCCATGGGGTTAGACCCTCCCCTGACCTTTCACATCGCTGGCCATGAGGTTAGAACCTCCCCTGACCTTTCACATCGCTGGTCATGGGGTTAGACCCCTGACCTTTCACATCGCTGGTCATGGGGTTAGACCCTCCCCTCGCACATCGGTGGCCATGGGGTTAGACCCTCCCCTGACCTTTCACATCGCTGGCCATGGGGTTAGTCCAGGGGTGGGCAAACTTTTTGACTCGAGGGCCACAATGGGTTCTTAAACTGGACCGGAGGGCCGGAACAAAAGCATGGATGGAGTGTTTGTGTGAACTAATATAAATTCAAAGTAAACATCATTAAAAAAAAGGGTACGGTTTTTTTTTTTTTAGTTTTATTCATTTCAAACAGGCCGGATCCGGCCCGCGGGCCGTAGTTTGCCCACGGCTGG